TTTTTTAGAGTCTAAATCTTAAAATTCTAAACCCTATGGGTATAAATGATAACCGCATAATTTATGCTGAATTTATGCTGAATTACAGAATTTGCTGAATTTCTTTTAAATTGCAGAATTTGCAGAATTTGCTGAATTGCAGAATTTGTTGAATTGCAGAATTTGCTGAATAAATGGTAACTTAAATAGTAACGGAATTTGCAGAATATGTGTTACCATTTAGTGCCATAATGATTTCTGTAAATTGTTCCACCAGTTTATATTTTTTTTAGCATTTGTATTTAAAATGTATGATTGCTGTTTTTTTTTGTATTTAAAAGATAAATGTCATATTTTATTAATATGAAAGCATGATACAAAAAACAAAATACGCACTTATGTATTACAAAGATACTCAAATACATAATTTTGATATGTCCATACACACTTGTGAATTTGATCTTTAAAATAATGACGTCGACTTCAGCCTCAACTTGAACTCCTCTGCACACTTGCAAAAAATTTAGAGGGACTTATAGAAACAAGATTACAATTCAGAACAAAATAGCATCTAAAAACCAGGAACCGAAAAACTAAATCCGGAACTCTACCTTCCAGAACACTAAATTTCTCTACCTCTTAAGGTACTTAATTTCTCATTAATCTGCAATATTGAAACAAGAAATTAAGAAATCTAGCTTTGGAAAATTTCCAGAGTAAATCGAACTTGGGAAACACAGAGAAAAATACAAACGAACCTAAACAAGAGGAACTCGAGATGCAAGAGAAACTAAGCAGAGTAGTACTAAAATCGCAAACATACAGAGAAATACCTACCATAGAAACTAAACGAAGATCTACTCGTCGAGACACACGGATCTACTCGTCGAGACACACGGATCTAATCGTGGAGAAACGGATCTCAACAAAGTGGTGGCGAGTGGTTAGGCAAGCTTATCTAGATTTGGAGGCGAGTGGTCAGGCGAGCTTGGGTTTGGAACCAACTGAGAAACTAGAAGACCCGCCGCCGCATTCGATTTCGATTTCATCGGCGAGGAAATCTCTGTTGAAATCATTTTTGTGGAAGAAGGAAAATTAGGTATTCAGATTCTAGAGAAAGTTAGGCTTTTGAGAGTGAAGATGAAGGGGAGAAGCGAATCGCTTG